AATCCTCATAAACCTTGAGCATTTTTACTTTACGTTTAAAAATATAAAATATTATAATATTATAATAAACTTTTAATTACAATAGATCAAATGAATTTTAAAAATATTAAAATATTATTTTTAACTTTACTTTTAAAAATAATGTTTATTGACTTTTAAAATTAATTGTTTAAAAATATTAAAATATAAAAATATTAAAAATATTTACAAAACTAGCACCCATTTTTTACACGTGTTACAAGATGCGGAGTATGGACAGCGCCTTACCCCACGTGGCGCCACATCAGCGTAAGGAGTGGTGTATGGGCTGCGCCTTCCTGCAAAATATGTTAGATCGGTAAATAAAAATGAAAGGATGTCTGACAGGTAAATAAGTTGTTCAGGGTGATTTTTAGGAAAAATCGCCAATATCCGTTTGGTTGTAAGGATATTAAAGTACCCTAATCATAGAATAGGGGACCTAAAACTCCATGATATGTTCAAACACCTCATAATTAAGGATACAAAGAAGAAAAAGACAATGTTTTGACCAATATTAAAAATACAATTAAGATTAGTGGTAAAAATAAATCTCTTTTTAATCATATAAAGGTTTAAATTGTTACAATTTAATCCTTCTTCCGAGCTTTGCATAATTTTTCTTTGTCCAATAAATATATATTTGCACTTCTCAAGTTCCACAATCGATGTGGGACTATTTCTCAACTTAAACCTATAAAGCTAATTGTCATTCAATGGTTGGGAAACAAGATCTTTCCCTTAGTGGGATACCATTTGGTGGGGGGGGGGGGGACTAATGACTATAATTAATAAGATTCCCAAATTGAACTCATTTCAAAATGGTTTAATCTTATCCTATGTCCGTCTATAATTTAAACTTTTGATTTTAGTCTTGAGATTTCAATTCCTCAACTTTAATTTTTAAATGAGCAAAGGGACTAGATTCTTAAAATATAAAGGCTTAATATTAATTTTTTGATACCTTATTTTTAGTCCATTTTGATCATTAAAATTCTCACTTTTTCAGTTAAGAAATTGGATTGTAACGTCAGCCAATAAGAACGTGATATATGGTAGATAATATTCTCATGAAATGTATAGACATACAAGTGCCATGTTGTTATTGGTTCATATTGCAATTTTTTAAAAGTTGTTAATGATTTTGTGTAAACGATAAAATTACAGTTTGAGTATCAAAGTGAACTGAAAAAGTATAGGGTAGAATATACTAGAGGTCATTGAATTATGCTGAAACGGTAGTTTTTATCAGCATTCCTTCAAATGTAATAAAATGATGATTTAACTTATCTAATTGTTGCACAATTGTCTCCATAACCTTATACATAGTGATAAATTTTGATAAGTTTAAGGGCCATTTTGTAATAGTTTGATAAGTTTAATGATAATTTTATAATAGTTTGACAATTTAATGATCGTTTTGTAACTTTTTGGAAAGTTCAATAATCATTTTGTAACATTTGAAAGTTCATTGATCGAAAAGATCACTAGACATAATTCAATTACCTCTAGTTTATTTTACCCAAAAGTTTATTCCGAAAATGAGAAAACGAATGTAGCTCGGGTTGCTAAACTGAGTATTAAGCCAAAAATAAAGTAGTTAAATTTCAAAAATCCTAAGAATGCAAGGACCGGGACATAGACCGAAAAATCTTGGTCAAGGTTTTTATTTTCCATTTCAAGGCATTTACTTCATTTTATTATACACGGCAAGCCATCTTGGAGATGTCTTGAAAAATATCAAAACGTGTCCAAATCCAACATGAACTCTATAATATTTTACTCCCTAAATTTATCAATTTAGTCCCTAGATTTGTCAATTTGTAAACAAAAACAAGTATGAAAAATATAATAACTCTATAATATTTTAGTCCCTAAATTTATCAATTAGTCCCTAGATTTGTCAATTTGTAAACAAAAACAAGTAAGGAAAAGATAATATTGAACAAATGAAAGTAACAACCCCAAGAATTCAAGCATGTGCCCAAAGAGGAAATCATCAAAAACCAGTTGCAGTTTCACAATTTCAACTTTTTACTGTTTCAACGTTTTTTTATCTTACCTAGTAAGTATTAATTGAATTCGTGTTCGAAATCGATTGGATGAATAAAAATAGATGGCTAAAATTGACTCCTTGTTTTTTTTTTCCAGTGAATATCTTCTCATTTTCTATTACTAGTCCCAGCCATCTAATTTTACTCATCCAACGGTATATAATCTATGTAAAGCTAAATGAGTTTACATTGTGTAATAGGTCCTATCCCATATATATATATATATATATATATATATATATATATATATATATATATATATATATATATATTCATGGCATGTTCAACTTCTATTTGATGTGTAAAAAGTCGTAAGAATCTGATGCAGTACTGTTAAGAGAGAAATAAAAATGGTATGTCAGCTGAGAAATTCTTGGATGCATATGATTTTGATCATACAAGTCATTGGAGTTAGGTTGTACACCGTCGAGGCCGAGCCTCAGAGGATTCTGTTCGATACCGATGTCAAGACCGACGACTTGTTCGTTCTGCTGTACCTCTTGAAGCTCAACAGATCGGAGTTTCTATTGGAGGTGAACTTTTATCTTCTGCATTAGGAAAACTGTTTTGCAGCGATATAAAATCGAATTTTGCAGTCAATCACCATCAGTACAAATGCATGGACTGATGCCGGGCATGCGGTGAATCAAATTTATGACATACTTTACAAGATGGGGGCGACAATATCACGGTCGGAGTAGGAGGAGAAGGCGGTATCATGGAAGACGGTAACATACAACCGAATGTCGGTGGATATCTTCCAATTATCGAACAGGTACTCGGACTGGATTTTCAGTGTTGGTACTGTAAATGTGTATGTATGTTCAGCTTATGTATTTGTAATTTGATTACTGGGGAATGACGACGTCCGAGGATGTCGATATAGGCAAGCAATTCCGGTAGGCCTCGGAGGACGATTAGATATCGACACAAACTTAGGCATCCAAAAAGCATTCCTTCAGCAGGGTAGCCGGAAATATACTCCTCTTCGACAGCCTACCGCTCAGCAAGTGATGATCGAAACAATATCTAAAGGTCCAATTAATGCTTTCATCACATGAGTTCACACAAATGTGGCCATTTTTCTCATGAGTAATTCACACCACAAGAAAAATGTTGAGCACGTATATGTCATGGGTGGTGGAGTGAGGTCCGAAAGCCCGACGGGATGCTGCCCCGGGTACGGTAACTCGTCATCTTGCCAGACTCAGCAGTGTGGTGACCACGGTAATCTGTTTACAGACTACAACACGAGTCCTTATGCCGAGTTTAATATCTTTGGAGATCCTTTTGCAGCATATCAGGTAACTGAAAGAAGTTGATTTGTTGATTGCTTATGGATCTAGAATTATGAGTGTAACATACGTATGCTAATGTTGTAGGTGCTCCATTCGGGCATTCCAGTGACCCTCGTTCCCCTTGACGCAACGATCACCATATAGATAACCGAGGAGTTTTTCAAGGCATTTGAGGCGAACAAGGCCACCTATGAGACTGAATACTGCTTTCAGTCATTGAAAATGTCTCGCGATACTTCGTTCGATGACCAATTCTACAGGGTAATGCTAATGCAGTTAGTCGGTGTTTTAAGAATCCGTGTTTTGTCGCGTTAATGTCATTAACCGTGGTGTTTCTACCTCCTGCAGAGCTATTTCATGTGGGATTCCTTCATATCCAGTGTGGCAGTCTCAATCATGCGTAATTCGCACAAGAATAATGGGGAGAACGAAGTTTGCAGAAATGGAATACATGAATATAACTGTAGTAACTTCGAACAAGCCTTACGGAATATCCGATGGCTCAAATCCATTCTTCAATGGCCTTAAAGTTCCAAAGTTTAAACTGATGAAAGGTGGAGTTCATAGTGGCCATGTCCAGACCGGTCTTCGAGATCCTCTTTGCTTCGTTGAGAACGGAAAAGGGAAATGCGAGGTAACTTCATTGTCAAGTTTTCACCAGAGCAACCCTTTTGTACGTTCATACATACCTTTTAACAATATCTAAAGCATTATAACCAAATAGGATGGTTACACAAAGGAGGTGACCGGACAGGACGCAGTTTGTGTTCTCGTCGCCACAAAGGCAAAAGCTAATAAGGACGTCGGCAGCAAACTCGACCGAGAACTCTACATAAGTTTTCTGGATGTATGTAAGATAGGAATGTCAAATTTTACTCGAACTTGTCTGATATTTATTGATGATATGTTATAAACATTGCTGGAGCCTGCCTGGAATGCAGGTTCTAAATAGTCCAGTACATACGGGGCGGTTCAATTGTACGACCGAATTTCCACATTACAGAGAAGTTCTTTCTAAACTGGATTATAGAAACAAAAGGTTGGGGAAACCGGTCATTTTCGATATGGATATGAGTGCCGGATATTTTGTAGCTCTATTTTATCTCCTCAAAGTACCTATGGAAGTGCTCAACCTCAAGGTAACTGGTTTCAGTTTCATCGGTTTCGGAACTGCTTTCGTTAAATGATTGCATTAAGATTTAGTACACACTGCATTCTCCTTATCCATGCAATATTAGTGTCTCCGACCGGTTGGGCTAATGCTGCGACCATCGATATGGTCTATGATGTACTGCACATGATGGGCCGTGACGACATTCCAGTTGGTCTGGGATATGTATCTGCAATGAATCAATCAGACAAAGTTTTCCCTCCTGTTGGAGACTGCAAATATGTTAAGGCTATCCCGCATGGAAGTGGCGGATTCCTTGATTCAGATACTCTTTATGGGCTAGCTCGGGAGTTACCGCGAAGTCCTAGAAGGTGTTTCACCTTGTTCTCTCTTAACTCTATTTCCTGTCTGAAAAGCTTAAAACCAAAATGAAATATGTCGGTATTCATTGCAGGTATACTGCAGAAAACTCGGTAAAGAGCTCCTAGGGATACTGATCATCCTGAACTGAGACAACTTTTGGCACTGGAAATTTGGAACTCAATATTGAGAACTTTGGATCCTGGATCCAAAATTACAGTATTGACAAATGGACCTTTGACTACTTTGGCCAAGATTATAACTCATACAAGAACAGCTTCACTGATCGAGGTACTTGGATTTTCGGAAGTTGATCAACGTTTTCCCAGAATCAGGTTTTCTGTCGATATTAATATTTTTCATTTGCTGTAATTGCAGGACCTGTATATTGTTGGAGGACATATCAGCAGAAGTCGCCTCAATATAGGAAATGTCTTCTCTATTCCTTCTGTTAGGTATGGCTCATAAATATACCAGTATCTCGTTGTGGGGTTACGAATTATGTGGATTGGGGGTGCGGGGGCGCAACCCCGCGGTACGGTACAGGGTTGATTTTGTAATTATGTACCAGGATTTTCTATTATAAATAGAGATGTAACCTAGACCTAAAAGATCATTGAATAAAACTTCTAACGCCGCCTAGGCACCGAGGACGTAAGCACATTGTCGAACCTCGTAAAATTCTCGTGTTCTTTTGTTTTCTTTACCCGTTTTCGTCAACAATTAGTATCAGATGTCAGGAGCAAAATTCGAAGTCGCGAAATTCGATGGTCAGGGTAACTTCGGATTATGGCAAACGAGGGTGAAGGATCTATTGGCGCAGCAAGGGATCTTGAAGGCTTTGCGACCTACAAAGCCCGGCGTCGATGGATGAGGAAGATTGGGAAGAATTGCAGCAGCGAGCGGCAGGAACCATACGATTATGCTTGGCGGAAGAGGTCATGTATCACGTCATGCATCTATCGTCTCCAGACGAAATTTGGAGGAAGTTGGAAAGTCAGTTTATGTCCAAATCCTTAACGACAAAATTGTATCTGAAGCAGCGGCTGTATGGGCTGAAGATGCAGGACGATCACGATTTGGCGCAACACGTGAATGTCTTCAATCAAATCGTTTCTGATCTGGCTCGGCTTGATGTGAAAATTGAGGATGAAGACAGAGCGATGATTCTGTTGTGTTCGTTGCCTCCCTCTTACGAACACATGGTGACTACTCTTACATATGGGAAAGAGACTATCAACGTTGAGGAGATTACTGCAGCCTTGTTGTCTCACAACCAGCGAAACCAGAATGTAGGGGAAAGCTCTCAAGCCGATAGCTTATATGTCAAGGGTAATCGAGATCGTGGACGGAAGCCAGAGAAGGCAGGGTCCGGGAAGCGGAATTCCAGATCCAAATCCAGGGATAAGAAGACGATTCACTGTTACAAGTGCAAGGAGGCGGGACATATGAAGCGAGACTGTCCGAAGTTGAAAAAGCAGACTGATGAGAAGCGTGATGGCTCATCCAAGTCTGTGAACGTGGTCGAGGATGATAATTCTGATTGCAGTGAGGGTGATATGCTTTCTATTTCAACGACACAATTGACGGATGCTTGGATTCTTGATTCTGGATGTTCTTATCACATCACGCCAAATAGGGAATGGTTTTTGACATACAGGCCGGTTAATTCTGGTTCGGTTTATTTGGGTGATGATCGATGTTGCAATATTGTTGGTATTGGTGATGTCAGAATTAAGATGCACGATGGCTCCGTTCGGACGTTTGAGTGGTGTTCTACATATCCCAGACTTGAAGAAGAATTTGATTTCCTTGGGCACTTTGCACAAGAATGGTTTTATCCCTAAGGCTGACGAGGATAGGGAAACCATTCGGATTGTTAAAGGAGTATTGACTGTGATGAAAGGCAAGATGACTGCAGGGAATATCTACAGATTGTTAGGGAGTACCGTTGCAGGTGGAGTTCACTCTGTTGAGTCCTATGATGATACGACAAAATTGTGGCATATGCGCCTTGCTCATCTTAGTGAACGTGGTATGGCAGAATTACACAAGAGAAACTTGTTGCATGGTGTCAAAAGTTGTAAGCTCGATTTTTGCAAGTATTGTGTTCTTGGTAAACAGACTAAAGTACGTTTTAAGACTGCGAAGCACACAACTCAAGGGATTCTTGATTATGTGCATTCTGATGTATGGGGGCCTTCCACGACATCGTCTTTGGGTGGATCTAGGTACTATGTTACTTTTATTGATGATTTTTCACGGAAAGTTTGGGTGTATTTTTTGAAACAGAAATCTGAAGTTTTTGAGAAGTTCAAGCTGTGGAAAGCTGAGGTAGAAAACCAAACAGGATGAAAAATCAAGTGTTTACGGTCTGACAATGGTACGGAGTACACAGATTCACAGTTCCTACAATTCTGTAAGGAGCATGGGATTCAGAGGCATTTTACAGTGCGCAAGACACCACAACAGAATGGTGTTGCGGAACGAATGAACAGGTCGTTGAATGAAAGAGCCAGATGTTTACGGTTGAATGCGGGGCTTCCCAAACACTTCTGGGCTGAGGCTGTTAACATGGCGTGTTAACTTATCAACAGATCGCCAAGGGCATCGCTGGCTGGGAAAGTTGCAGAAGAGGTATGGACTGGTCATGATGTTAGTTTTGATAACTTACGGATTTTTGGTTATCCTGCTTATGTGCATGTACCTGCTGATGAGAGATCCAAACTTGATGCAAAATCGAAGGAGTGCATTTTTCTGGGTTACAAGAAAGGTGTCAAAGGATTCAAGTTCTGGGATCCAGTTGCGAAGAAAGTTGTGATTAGTAGAGATGTCGTTTTTATGAACAATCCATGTTGCAGCAGAAGCAAGACACGACAGTGGTGGATTTCGAGCAGTTTCCAGTTGAGAAACCAGAAACTTCTCAACCGACTTCTGGTGGTTCCACTACGGATGATTTGCAGGATTATAGTCTCGCCAGAGACAGGGTGAGACGGACGAATATAAAGCCTCCGAACAGATTGGGTTTTGAAGACTTGGTATCTTTTTCACTTATTGTTAGCAGTGATGATCCGGTTACTTTTCATGATGCCATTACTAGTCAGGAAAACGACAAGTGGATGGCAGCCATGGTTGAGGAGATGGAGTCTTTGAATCACAATTGCACATGGGAGTTAGTTCCCCTTCCTGAGGGTAAGAAGCCGATTGGTTGCAAATGGGTGTATAAGAAGAAACCAGCAGTAACAGAAAAAGAGGGGGAGAAGTTCAAGGCTCGTTTGGTAGCAAAGGGTTTTTCACAGCAGAAAGGAGTTGATTATGATGAAATCTTTTCTCCTGTGGTCAGGCACACTTCAATCCGAGCAGTACTTGCATTGGTGGATAGTTGGGATTTGCATTTAGAGCAGATGGATGTTAAAACTGCTTTTTTTCATTGTGATTTAGAGGAGCAGATCTACATGCGGCAACCTGAAGGTTTCACTCAACCTAGAAACGAGCATTTAGTTTGCAGATTGAAGAAATCTTTGTACGGGTTGAAACAGTCTCCAAGACAGTGGTATAAACGGTTTGACTCCTATATGATCAAGATTGGCTACAACCGATGTGAGTATGATTGTTGTGTCTATGTTAAGAGCCTTGATGATGGTTCTTTTATTTTTCTATTACTGTATGTTGATGATATGTTGATTGCTGCGAAGAACATGGATGATGTTATCGGTTTGAAAACTTTATTGAGTCAGGAATTTGATATGAAAGATTTAGGTGCTGCAAAGAAAATTCTTGGAATGGAAATTTGCAGGGACAGAGACTCAAGGAAATTGCGGCTATCTCAACGGGGTTATGTTGAGAAAATGCTAGAAAGGTTTGCGATGAGCAGCGCGAAACCAGTTAGCACTCCATTGGCGAATCACTTTAAGCTCTCATCAGAACAGTGCCCTAAGACAGATAAGGAAGCTGAAGATATGGCAAAGGTTCCGTATTCTAATGCTGTTGGCTGCTTGATGTATGCGATGGTATGTACTCGTCCTGATTTAGCTCATGATGTTAGTTAAGTTTGTAAGTACATGTCTAAACCAGGTAAGCAACATTGGGAAGCAGTCAAGTGGATCTTTCGGTACTTAAAGGGTACTGTGGGACATGGAATTATTTTTGGGAGTCAACGGGATAATCCTTTGGTTGTAGGATATGTGGATTCAGACTATGCAGGTGACTTGGATAATAGAAGATCTACGACAGGGTATGTCTTTACTCTTGGTGGAGGGCCTATTTGTTGGAAGTCTACTGTTCAATCTGTTGTGGCTCTATCTACAACTGAAGCTGAGTACATGGCAGCGGCTGAAGCTGCAAAAGAAGCTTTATGGCTTACTGGTTTAGTGAAGGAGTTGGGTGTTCAACAAGGTGGAGTTCATTTGCTTTGTGATAATCAAAGTGCTATTCATTTGGCTAAGAATCAGGTGTATCGTGCTAGAACTAAACATATTGATGTAAGGTTCCACAAGATCAGAGAGTTGGTTGCATCTGGAGAGGTTTTATTTCAGAAGGTACATACTGATGAGAATGTCGCTGATATGTTCACCAAGCCAGTTACGACAGACAAGTTCAAGCATTGCTTGGACTTGTTGAATGTTTCGAGTTGTTAAAGAAGCAAGGTAACCCAACCCACATTGAAGTTTCCAAGGGGCAGGATATTCGCCAAGGTGGAGATTTGTTAGGTATGGCTCATAAATATACCAGTATCTCGTTGTGGGGTTACGAATTATGTGGGTGCGGGGGCGCAGCCCCGCGGTACGGTACAGGGTTGATTTTGTAATTATGTACCAGGGTTTTCTATTATAAATAGAGATGTAACCTAGACCTAAAAGATCATTGAATAAAACTTCTAGCGCCGCCTAGGCACCGAGGACGTAAGCACATTGCCGAACCTCGTAAAATTATCGTGTTCTTTTGTTTTCTTTACCCGTTTTCGTCAACACCTTCCAACAAGTACACCGAATTCAATATGTTTTTTGATCCGTTCGCCTACGATGAGCAGAGAATAATGTGGAAAACACCACCTAGTTGAACTTTAAACATTCCGATCATGAATCGGATTTTCGATTCCCAGAAGAACAGAATTCAATTCTGTTTCATGTTGGTGTTGTGGATATATTAGTATTACTTCGAATAAAGTTCAAGATAAATGAAGATGCTGTAGGTGTCATATGCATACTCATATCCGACGCTCGCATTTTAATCCGAAATATTTTTTCATTCATCAAAGTCTTACATACAACCAGACAACATCTGATCTTTTATATCAGTACAGAACAATATTTGCTACTTTAGAATACCACTCAAAATTCTTGCTTTTTTCCCTTCGTCTTTGATGGTCTTCAAAAACCCATTTCGATCACAAGTGTAGAACAAAGTACCTCAAAATTAAATTATAGACCCTTTTCATTTTGACCACCATTTTTGATTTTTTGTCAATCAGGTCACCTAACTATTTAAATGAATTCAATCAAGTCACTAGCCGTTAACAGTTAACAAAGGTGATGATGTGACAGTTAGTGAAATTGGTATAATTACACATTTTATCATCAATATATTCTATAAATTTAATCATAATTTAATTTAATTTAATAAATTTAACAAAGATGGATGTAACAGTCAATAACTTCACTAGAATTATTAAGTTAAAATCAGAGATGGACCTACGAAAATGGGTGAGGGATGTCGCCTCTAAAAATCTAAAATTACCATATATTTTAGATTTTTTTATGTATTTTTTATTGAAAATCTGTTTACGCCCCCTAAAATTTTATAAGTTCAAGTTCACTCCCTAACTTAAAATTATGCATCCCTCTCTAATTAAAACCACATAGTGAACACCCTTGAATATAGGTTAATTCTTTTAGGCTTAGTACACTTTTATGTCTCTAAATTATATCCCTAATCAATTTGGCACTTAAAGAATTTTTCAAGTGTCTAATATTTTATTCGTAATCCTTTTAGGAGTCTATTATTAATAAAAATTCGTTAAATGACAAATGTCACGTTTATATTTTTATTTTTTAAAATAAAATATTATTTAAAAATATTATTTTTTAAAAATTTGGACATACATATTTCATTTAACGGATTTTTAATTACGGAAAGAATATTAAATATAGAGGTAAAATATATTAAGTTTTTTTAAGACAACAATTTACGAGAATCGTTTCTCGAGATTAAATGCTGTTTGATATTTTATTTGTGTGGATAAGAGTACAAACTTGAAAGTGGAGAAAGAATCCTTATCTTATGATATATTTTATTGGTTTGACTTTTTCAAAAAGTAAATAAATAAATTAGTGAATTGGCCTTATCATGGAAAGTGAAAAATATTATTACGAAGAAGAATAGTTTTTTTTTTAATTTATATTTTTATGCTTAATATACGAAAAATATTATTATTAGGTAATAATTTATTATTAATAATAGTATTTTTTATTTAAAATGGTGGGAATGTCATTATCTCCAAATTTTTAGGTAATAAACAATTCTCACCACTTTGAACATAAATACTCCTAAAATAATAAAATTTTTCGTATAAATCATTATCAATTACTATTCTTCATGTTTTACTCAAAATTATAAACTTAATAGTAATAATATACAAATAGTTTAATTTAATAAAATGTTAATAATTTTGAATAGTTAAAATTATTTTATATTTTTAATATTTAGTATATTAATTATTTTATAATTTTATGAGGTAAAAATATTATTATTGTAAAAATATAATTATTTAAAATAATATTTAATTTTGAGTTATTAAAAATAGATCTTATATATTAAAAATTAATATATTTGTCCACTCGACATCATAATATTATTTTTAATATTATATTATATTTTATATAAATAAATATGGTACATATGAAAATTATTTAAAATTATAAGTTTGATATACTAATTATATTAATTATATGTAAAATATAATTTTTATTTAAATTTAGATAGTGTAATAATTAAAATATTTTTTATAACTTTTTATTCAAATATTTATAATTTAATATTAAAGTTTTACTTGTTAAAAAATGTATATCACAAGGATAATTTAGTCAAATATGCATCCAAATAATCTTATATTTATCCAATCAAACACTGTAATCTTACATTCCTGCTAAATAAACTAAACAGGGTAATACAATATTCCCAGGGTAATGTCACATTCTGGTAATATTATTTCCAAATGTAATTTTACATTCCGTGAACTAAACACACCCTCAATCATTTTTTTGAATATATTAACAGAAAAATATAAATAAAATACAAATATTATCATGCATTGTTTTTTTAATTTTATTTGTAAAAATATATGAAAGTACTATATATAGGCTAGGATATTTTTAGTGTAAAACTTTTTAGTTTTACACCCTTTTTATGATTGATGAATGATGAGAAATCAAAAATTGAAATGAATAGTAAGAAATGAGAAGATATTCACTAAAAAAAGTTAAACTTAGTCATAGCCTTTGATTTTTCCTCATATGACGATCTAAAAAGGTGTAAAACTAAAAGTTTTACACCAAGTATAAGTAGATCTTAACCATATATATATAAAGTTATATTTCTAGAGGTTCCAAATTCGCGCGCCAACGACTGCAGATAATATTTGAGTGTTTATTATCAAATGTTGAGAGTCTTTAGAACATGTATGTTAGATTATGCCCAAAAATCAAATCATGAGGTGGTTGTAATGATACTTTTTCTTTATCGTTTTTATTGAATAAAGACATTGCCACTATTATTTTTAGTTGTATTTTTTGTGTCTAACATAAAGTGAAAGTAAAGTTCATATAATAATATGATCATTATTAAAAATCTTTAGTCAAGTATTACTATGGGCATGGACAATAATAATACGTTTAAGGCTAACATGGAGTTGATTGATGACAACGTGTTATGATTGACATAGAGATGTCAAAGTCGATACACGAGTATGTTGTTAGAAAACAATATATTGGATTGACCCGCTATGAGAATGTTTCTTGGATTATTATGTGACGGTCACAACATTGTTCATGGTAAGGATATATGTATGATCCTCATACTTGAGATCATTACTATCTCAACATATATTGTTTTATGTTTTGATACAGTTAAACATGCTCTGTAACTGGTTGCACTATAAGACTAATATTGAACATATTGCGGTATATGTAGTGAGGTGTGAATTATCAAGATAAGATTTGTCCTTCCTATATAATAGGATTTATATCACATGCTACTTGATTGAGTGAGACTAGAAATGCATGGTCATGCTCAAATAAGTTGATATGAGATATCACAAATTATTCGTTTATTATAGTTTACTCTAGATATCAAGAAATAATATATGGACTATACAAATGTCACTATTCCAAGACTTGTGCCTGTTATAGTATAAAGGACAAAAGGATGTAATACATCAAAAGAGTTAGTCACGAACATATTATGTCGAATCATAACTTCCTGTAACTTAGGTAACAATGATTTATTGCTAGATGTCACTCATTGTTTGTAATATTAGAATGATTATAATTATTACTACTAATATTACTAGATCTTAGAGGGTCACACCCAATGATTGAAAAGAGCAATTTATAAATGTGTTACATATGTACAATTCTATTGTACATGAATAAAATGTCTAGTTAATATATATATATATATATATATATATATATATATATATATATATATATATATATATATACGCGTGTAATTTTAATTACACATTAAATATCAAATTTAATTAAAAGAATATAATCAAGGTAATGATATTCCTTATTAAATTCATTTAAAACCCTAATAGTTAGGGCATCACATATAAAAGGGACATGTTGGTCTAGCATCCATTTTCCCCCTTCAAAAATTCTGAAATTCCTCAAAACCTTTTTGAGAAAGAAATTTCTCTCAACTGCTTTTCAACCGAGTGAATTGAGTAAAGGCCCGCGATGATTTTTCGTGGAGGCTAGGATTTGAATCGTTCGTGAGATCGTGAGTCGTTGTTGTATTGCTGCTATTCATGGAACCCAGGGCGAGAAATCATATCTCTTCATCCCAATTTCGGTTTTATCATACATAGATCATTGGTGAGACTGTCGAGTTTGTTTTCGCTGTCTATGGGGTGCGCCGAGGGTCCCAACAATGTATTGTCATTTGTAATCTCTCTAGATTAATAAAACAAATTTCTTACTGCAACACCCTTAACCCGTATATGTACCTGAATACGAGTCAAAGATGTCACATAGCTTTACATACAATCTAAGGTTGAAAATCGAGTAAAATTTTTAACTTTTAAAATTTATCCAATTTAATCCATCCTTTCAATAAATAATGTAATCACGTAAAAATCATATTATAGTATTTAAGCCTCCAAATCAATATTAGTTTCAGGAAACAACTAGACAATCCTATATTGTTCCATATCATAAGATAAACTATCTAATTACTGTCTAATTTAAAATATTTATTTACTCTATCAAAATATAATTTTTATCTAAAACACAATATTTAAATTTTTATTTATATCCATAATATCATATCTTATACTTTTTTTCTTATTCGTATACATGCCATCTACAAAATTTAAAATAATAGGATGTCATTATTGATATGTAACACCCCAACCCGTATCTGACCCGGACACGAGTCCGATGTGTCACATTTGACTTTTCAAAACCTTTACTTGTACACAATAATGAAAATTTCCCACTAATATTAAATAAAACTTTATATTTTATATTATCTTTATAAAAAGGGTTTACAAAACTTATTAGAGCGTATATAATTCAAATCTTTTAGTTACATGCCAACCATATTTCATATAACAAAATACATGTTAATAAAATGGTTTTCTGATCTGATATCCGGAAAGGAGAAATTAACCTGTCTTGCTCCTCTATACTCCCCAATCTTCTCAAAACCTACGTATGAAACACTCACAGGCTAAGTCGATGACTTAGTGAGGCATATAAAATGAATACATAAAACCTTAATTATCTAACAAT